TGCCATCCACACGAAAAAGCTTTGACTGTTGGGTGAACAGAGGCCAAGACTGAAATGAAAGTTGAGAAAGGCCAGCGGAAACCATCCAAACTTTTGGTCTGGTCCGGTGTGGATTTATGTTGAGGTCTGACATTCAGACAGTGTGACAAATTCAGCCGGGAACTCTGCCCATGTGAACAAAGATGCAAAGCTCATCAGAGGAAAAATGTTTTTCTCAGATTCTCCCCAGAGCCTTACGCAGCTCTGCAGGTTGTTGTGAATGGACACCAATTATATGGCAGTGTTTGCTAGCTTTGACTAAGAAGATACAGCATGTTGTAACTTAAAAAAAATGTAAAACTGCCTGTGTTCAAGTTGTTGAGGCACACCTTTTGTGGTGGAGGGTCTGCTAGTTTGTCTGGCATGTTCCACTGTTTAGTATCTCCATGGAGCAACAGGCTAAGTTACGGGTCAGATCTTTGAAGAGGCGTTCCCTCTCACTGTAAGAATGCAAGTTTATCAAGGTAATTATGGATAGTAAAAGTAATGTTAGATAGAAAGTTACATGTAATACCATATGATGGAACATTCCAGACAATGCAGCATCTTCATGAAAACAAGCATCCTCTGAGTAAAGTCTGAGTAAAAGTTGTGTAACAGTATTAGGTACAAATGTCAGGGATAATGAGCCTGGATTACTGAATTTACGTTTTAAAGCAGACAAACAAAAGCAGAACTTCCAGCCTAAATGTGAAGTTATTTCTGTTTCTAATCGGTCTAATAAGTCTTACCTAACAATGGTTAGAGCAGCAGCAGATCCCAGACTGAGCAGTGCCCAGACGCCCCGGCGTGCCGCAGGGACCACTTCTACCCTGTAACAATTCCATAATTAGCACGCTGTAAGCAAACAAGGCTTCTCTTGTTTCACCTCCAGTTTATGGATATTTTGGGTTAAGCTACAGCAGTGCTAATTAGACCTGACAAAATCAGGACCTTATCAGACAGAATACAATTATTCCAGATACAAGACACATAACGCTTTTAAGAAACATTTGACATTTTAGCACAATTTTATAAAAATATATCATTAATGTTTTTGAATAACAAATAGACAGACCCATAAATATATTCTACATTATTAAGAGCAAACTGACCTTACTAAACCAGATTTTAACCAGGAATACATCACAGCTTTTAGCAGTAGTTTTCATTTTACCTATTTTACCTGTTCTTACTTTTACTTAAAAAAATAACTCCTAAGCAATAGAAGACACCTTTTTACCTATACCTCCATGTACCTCCACCCCAGTTTGAGAAGCACTGATCTCTTCAGTCTAAACCTCTGTGGTCGGGTTACACACCATCTCCTATCTGTGGTATGTTTGTTTTGGAAATGCAATGCCATTTGTCGCCGCGTCCACTAACAAATCAAGCCAGCCTGATTACTGCTGTGTTCTGTGGGTGTGGAATGGACAGACCAGAGCCCACTAATTGGTCACCGGTGTTTGAGAATGGGCAGGATCCAGGAGACTGGGCAAGAGCTCCAGCTGCTCACAGTCCCTCCTCCAGCCTACCTCTGTCCCAGCATGTGCCTGTTTGTTTTTCGGACTTTCTGTTTGGACTACAGATCGCCTCAGTAAACTAAAGGCAGAATGGGAAAGTTTCAGAGCAAATCCTGGTTACAGAGATGTCTTTTGTTCTTTCCCTTTTGATTATTACCTTCTGGTTGGGTTGTGGAATTAATCACATTTTCATTTAGATTAAAAGTCCTATATTATGCAAAATTGACTCTTGTGAGCTCTAAGTCATGCTAGAATGCTGTTACTTCATCAAAAACATACCTGAGTTGTGATTTTTTTTCATTCACACTTTTGAGTAATCCTGAATTATTAGCTCAAAATGCTCTGCTTCATCTTGTGATGTCATAAAGAGGTAGTTTTCAAGTTAACAGCAACGTTTTACCTTTAGTTCAGTAGAGATTGGCAATTGTAGGGCTGAAATGATCCAGATGATTCTAGTGAAGGTGTATGGAGTTTAAAAACACAGTGAAGCACTTCTTGTATTACCACATGACATTACAAGGTCGAACAGTGTTTTCAGTTTGAGAGAAGAATTAAATATGCAGGATGTGTGTGTTAAACCAGGTATGTTTTGATGAGGAAATCATATTATAATATAGATAAGAAAATAGCGCTTTAAGGACTATTTTATCAAGGACTCGCTGGGGTGTTTTTAATCAAGTTCCACAGCGGTAAAATCATGTTGTGTAGACCAGAGATTTCACTTAATTTCAGACTATTTATTTATTTCTGTTAAATGGCAATAAATAAAGTTTGCATTATTCATGTTATGGAAAGTTAATATAGAAAGCCATTTTAATTTGTTTTCAGTAAGACAAAATAAAACTGAAAATGGTGATTAATATGAAAAAAGACATTGGGATTAATTTTTGTCATATCACCCAGCCCTTCCTTCTTGTGGTATCTCAAGAAATCAACATTGTTTTAAGATTGCAGTAATTTGGCGATGGTTGTACATGTAATAATGCATTGATCTATCTGTCCAGACTTAGTATTAGCATGTATCCAAGTACTCAAAACTCAACATTGTGGTCAGATTACAATAAACATATGTTCAAAATGTAAGATAAATATAATTTTAAAGGTGCACTATGTAACTTTTTGGTTGGGGGTCCACCACCTGCTTGTTTGGATATGTCATTACCTCTGCCTGGAATGTTTCATAGTATATATGATATTAAACAGCTATACATTACATTTACGTTTTGTTTTTTGTTTTTAGCTCTAAAAAAAAAAAGTTGGTTTGGTCTTCATGAAGATAGAAAGGTTTAATACCATAATCATTACAGACAAAGTAATACGCATTTGACTAACCCTCCACCAGAAAAGTTACACAGTGCACCTTTAAATCTGACTCTTCTGTAACTCCATATCTGTTTCTTCATTGTAGTTTGGTGTGTGTTGTAACTTTTCAGCACTGGATTCATAGTATAAATAATGAAGTTAAAGTTAAAAATGTGTTCTTTTGAGTTATCAAAAGTGTTAAAGATTCTCAGGAGAGCTTCACAGATTTCACTTTTACATGTTCACTGAAGCATGCAGTGAGGCTGAGAAAACAACTTCATTAGCGTGAACAGAGGAGCCAATAACCTTACCAAACCTGGCAACCACCACAACCCCAGTGTTAAATGGAATCTCTGGCAAATAAATGACCTTTCTGGAAACAAATTTAAGTGACTGAACCACAAAAGCATTCAAATAAATACTTAACTCACAGAAGATATTGGTTAAAAGGGAGGGGAAGTTATCTTCAGTTATACATGTTAGATTATTTTAGATGTCTAAAAAACATTAACTAGCAAAATCCTATAATATGTTACCATAGAAAGTATGTAGTAGTAGAATCTTTATGGTCCAAAACCCTTTCTAAAGATGTTGCTTTGTTTTTATTCTGTCTTAACAGCATGGCCATAAATATCTATCAGATAAGACAGAGATATGAAGACAACAGATAAGACAAAGGGATGGTCCATTCAGGTCTGACCAGTCACTATTTTGGCAGAGGTTAACTTGCTCCAGAATGCTGTACAATAAAACGGAATAATCCTGGAAAAGATACATTGGAATATAGGACTATGAATGAAAAATATATTGCAATTACAGTAAAAAAAAAAAAAAAACAGTAAAAGTTGGTCTAGATCAGTCAGATAAAGTTCATAGTTGAAATTGTATTAAATAAATTGTAATTTTTATTGTGAATTTTCTTGTAGTAGAATAACAAAATGGATAATGCCAAAATTAAAGGCGCAAGATATAACTTTTCTGGTTCGCGATCTGCTTGGTCTCTTGTTTTTGCTTTCTTTATCAGACTTTTGAATGGAGTAAAACTTTAAAGTAATTTTTGAGCAATAAAAAATCTTCACCAAACCTGTTTTTACTCAAAGGACATTCACACTATTATGGGTTTTAACCAACATTGTGCTTACATCTACCTCTTCATGGTAAAAGAGATATCAGTTCATTTCATTAGTATATTTTTGTTTTTCATTCCTGCTGTCTAGTTTATACTCTATTAAATAAGTTCATTGAAGATGCTGGTTTAGATAATGTCAGTGATCCAGACTTAAGTGAGCTGTTCAGGGCTGCTCTGTCAGTCTGATGTTATGGTGCGGAGTCGTCTGGGTCGCTGCAGGTCAAAACACTTTTCAGAAGACCTGGAAGTTGTGATTAAGTTGCTCTGGGTTATGTTAAGGACTGAGCAATGTAATTATGTAAAACACAAAATAGAGAGCTGTTTTATCTTTGTTAAAGTTAATATGGAGAACTGGTTTATGGGAGTTGGCTGTTTCTCTACACATCTTTGATCACCACTGAACATGTAACTCAGAATGACAACTTGCCTTTCAAAATGAGATGTGTAACTTTCATTGTTATAGGAATGGAGTTACATGGGGTCAGTGAAAGAGCAGAACGTTGTGAATATATCATAGTAATGACACAAGGAACGCATAAAACTACAATGATATGATGGTCCATATTGCAAGACTTTTAAAAAACTTGAAAAAATTATAGTCTGAAAGTGCATCTGGATCAAACAAATAAAGTAAATCTATCGTTTTATATGCATAATGCAATGTATAGCAAATGAAATTAATTGCACTGAAAAATATTGTCTCGCTGTTTTGGCTTGATAAAATGTTCTTCATCCAAGATCCAGGACATGGGATTCTTAAAACATTGTGAATTTGTTATAGAGACCCAATTAACTTTGTGCTAACAGAGAGTAGGTGTGGACTTTTAATACGGTACTGATAGGTCTCCTGAATCCCTGAGCCCAGGCTGCCTGGTGGGGGCTGCGGGTCTGAGCCAATGGAGAGTGCGCGGCGCTAATGTCATTTCAGTGCGCCCTTCAAACAGGAGACCAGAGCGCACTGTGGACTGTAGCCGGAGACGTGGTGACAGTGGGGGAAGTCAGACCACGCTCTCTCTCCCTCTCTCAACACTCGCATCATTACCTGGGCTTCTCTGGGCTTGTCGCTTCACTTGAGCAGGACTTGGTTCAGTTATTCGGCTTGATATGTGCACAGTCTGCGGACTTCTCTTCTGCCAATGAAACGCAGCGAGATTCTCTTAAACTTCGGGAATATCGATTGTGGATATTTCGCACACTGCGGAGAAACACTTTGAAGGTCAGTACGTGTGTGCTTTTTTGCAAAAGTTGCTTGATATAAATCAGCGTTCTTTACTTCATGAGAGGAGTTGGGGGTTTGGATTTATAACAAATAACTGCAGTTTGTGAACCTTAATTGGCCGTTTAGTGCAAACAAACAGTGAATGCATCGGAGAGAGCCAAGTAAAACAAACACTCTAACGACTGTCTAATAGAGGTCAACTGCTATTTCTGTTTCAGACTGTGGATAAATGCCCTAAACTTTACCATTCTTATCTGCGCTTTTGCGCATTAGCCCGAAAGAGACACTATTCCCTTGTGCGTAAAGGCACAGAAACCTGATTTCCCTGACTCCAAAAAGTCTCCATCAGGGTAGCTCGTGTGTGTTTGTGTGTGTGCTAAGTGCCGGGTCTCTGGAGCCTCCAGATGTATGGACTCAGCTGTCGCCTGTCACTTTGGTGACAACTGGTCGGCGCTCCATGACCGCTGTCTGTCTTTCGCAGTGGGTCTCTATAGCTGTCAAGAATGCTGTTGAGTGAGGAGGAATGTGCTCGCTCATACACCACAGCCACATACTTGATACTTGCACAATAAATGCCTTTTAAAAATTATATTTCTGAGCTGGCGACATTTGAAATGTACGCATTTGCGTGAGTGCCCAAACTGAGTGCGCAAATACTTTCACGACTTCATCTGTAGACTTATGTTGACATGCACGCTGAGGTGACCTGCGTAGCCTATAGAGTTTAAAAGTAGCTTGAGCGAATCCATCTCTCCTTGTGGACCTCACAGAAGCTAAACATGCCATAAAGTGTTTCCTTTACTGCACAATGACACACCCTCGCGTCTCAAACATTTCCATTCTCAGCTGTGATTTAAAGAGCTAAACCTGCACGACACTGGGGAGCACATACTGTTATGTTAAACCAGAGCCATCTATCATAATATTTTGAAAGAGCTCTGAAAGTCTTGTGCGTAAAGGGGGCACGCTTGGCTCCACTGTCATATACTTGCATAGGCCTATAGACTTTCACATTAATTGGATGTGAATAATATGAAGATGAATTACTTTCTATTGGCTTCGACATTATTTGGCTACTTGCAGACGATATAGAGATGTTTCTGTCAGCACGAAACCACAAAAAGCCAAACGCGCAGCGCAAAGGTAACGGCGCCCTCCAGTGGCCACAATGAGAATTCTAGATTTCTACAATGAAGTAGGTTTCAATTCAAATTTACTCAGAAGCTGAAGAGTTACTTAGAAATTTAAGAGGTAATTAATAACAATGTTTTGATCCAGATTTTCTTTTAATATTGTGTATTTATCCCTATATTCAAATGCTGAAATTGCAGTGCTTCTCATGCAACTTGATTAAAGTAGTGGAATAAAGAATAAGCACAGAGCCTTGTTTGTTAGCCCATGTGTGAACCAAACAGGGGCAAGTCTTTAATGGTTCAGATGCGCATGAGAAGTGGCACAGTGCACAGAACTCAGGGCTGCTGCTGCTGTAAACTGTGGGAGGTTGGCAGGGGACTGGATGAAGTACAGCTTGTTTAATCATTGGTGGTCTGCTGCTCTGTGGTCTCTGGGCTTGGCACGGTGGACAGCGGCCTTCTTGGTCAGATTTAGGCCAGTTTTACTCTAGTCTGTGGTTGTACAGTGGAATAAGTGCGGAGGTAGAAGTGGGTAGTAATGACTTATATTTACTCTTACATGTACTTATATTTTTGAATAAATTAAAGGCCTACACACTGTACACAATGCAACTTTTCTGGCAGAGAGTCCACCACCTGCTTGTCTCTGAGGATTTATCACTTGAATCTTTTTTTAACATTCCACACTGTACTATGGCATTCAACTTTTCTATCTCCGTGGAGACAAGCAAGTGACTACACCAAGCCAAATTACAAGTCAGCTCTATAGAAAGGCGAACCTGCTGACAGTAACAATGAATGAAATTCATTTTTAGCAAGAAAATGACCTATAATTGAATAAATGCAAGATAAATACGTTAAATGCCTCACTGTGCAATTTTCCAGGAAATGCAAAAACATCTCCAAGTGTGAAATCCCCACCAGAAAAATTACAGCCACATTCTTTATTTATTTATTTTGAAACAACAATAGGATTCTGGCCACGCTCTAACCATGAAATAAACCTTTGCATTACTCTGTACTGCTGTAATTTCCCCCTAATGTTTTCTTGTTTTCCACATTGTTGTTTTCTTCCTTCACCACAATCACCATTATTCCCAGTAGTTCATTATTTTTTTCCAAACTATTTTTTTTTACGTCTTTGGGACAACAACTTTTTTTTCTTTTCTTACATCTTGTGTAGGCCTGTCATGATAATTACTGTATTGATTTACTGTTTCATATATGAAAGCTGGAATAATAAATGTTTTAGGGGTTATCATGTGTACTCTTTTTTTGAGCTACTGGAAAATGTTTGGTTATTTTTTGGGCTATACAATATGATTTAAACAGTCAAAGGTTGAATTAATACCTTCTGTGACTCAATACAGATGCAAACTATAAAGACTTAAATCTTGAATCTTCTCTTTTTTGTTTTGTGTTTTTGTGTTAGTGGCATAAATGAGTTTTAATATTATATGTTTTTGTTATATTTAGTTAAAGGTGCACTTTGTAACTTTTCTGGTGGAGGGTCTGTCAAATGCTTTTCTCCATGGTGATGTTATTGCTTTGTCTGAAATCAGACCAAGTTAGACCAGATCAGGTCTGTGAAGAGACAGTCCTGCTCACAGTTAAAATTCCTGTTTTTTTTTAGGTATTTTTGAGCTAAAAAACCACGTGTAATTGAATAAATATAAGATACAACAGTTTAATGTCATACTATGGAACATTATAGGCAGAGCAATGACCTATCCATAGAAACGAACAGGTGACAGACCCCCAACTAAAAAGTTACATAGTGCAACTTGAAGCAGTATATCACACTTCAAAATTTGTTATCATGACAGGCCTAATTATTAATATTATTCTACACACATCAGCCTGGACAAGAGCTTGTAGATCTAGAATGGGATTTGCCCTCAGCAGCAGCAGAAGCAGCAGGGGCAGCAGGGGCACACATTGGATCCACATGCTAAACATTAATGTAAAGTGATTAGAGGTAGTTAGTGATTTAGCGCTTCCAGGCACAGCGCTGTTTATTAGCAGTTACAGGATGGAGTTGTAGAGGAAGACATGGGTTTGGCTGGATGACTGCAGCTCTGTGCCTGAACCACACTGTATAATTGTGGGAGAAGCCCTCAGACCACCGCGATGATGAAAGACAGGCTTGGCACACATGTTTCATTATGGGTGCCCTGTACAGACATGATGCTGGCTGCCTATAAACTACGCACATCACCACAGCTTTTTATAGAGGCTCTGTTTGAGATAAGGAGGGCAAAGATGTCAGCAGTCTGTGGAGAATTCAATGATCTTATCTAGTTGAGGGTTACAAGATTAATAGCAATCTAATCAAAGTTGCAATTAGAATACTCTAAAGCAGAGGTGGTTAGAGAAGCCTGAGTTTTTTTCTGACGTAAGATTACTGTTACACTGTAAAACTTATTACTCAAATACTAGTAAATGTATTGTGCCTGAAAACCACTCCCACAAAGTACAATTTCTTTAAAAAGTTACTGTTACTGTGTGGTGTTAATGCTTATGGATGTTTAAATTGTAGACTGTTATTGAAATTTTGATTGTAAAAAATGTATCATAGTACTTACAATACTTGCATATCTTGTGAGGCCATGAAGCTGTAGTTTTCAAGTTAACAGCTACCTTTTACCTTTAGTTCAGAAGAGATTGGCAGTTCCAAGTCTGAAATTGGTCTGATTCTACTGAAAGTGTATGGAGTTTAAAAACACAGAGGAGCCCTTCCTGTATCACTACATGACATCACAAGCTAGAACACAGTGACCTCTGTTTAAGAGAAGAACTCAGCTTAAATATTCAAGGTTTGTGAGTTAAACGTGTGTGAATGAAACAAAACACAACTCCATGTTATGTTTTTGATGATCATTATAACACAGATCAGAAAATAGTGTCATATGGGCCCTTTAATAATGTAATAAATACTACATTTGTGAAAATGGAGGGCTGTACGTTCTCTGGTGCTATCCCTCACAGTCTCACAGAACTGATATAGCAAAAGAAAACATTTTACTCTGAGATAGTCATTTAAAGACCTTCCAGATTTCCCCACTGCACAACAGGGGCTTGGCTCTGAGCTTTCCGGACCCCTGGCTGTAAGTGCGCTATGCTCACACGCATCTTCCTGTGCTCTTGTTCTGCTGTTGACATTGTGAGGTGGAGATGCAGTGGAAGAGGTCAGTCTAGAGATGGCTTTGCTGAAACAGATCTTTTGATTGGTTGGCGGGTCATCAGGCAGATCATGAGTTTCCCTAAAAGATGCATGCGGTGAGTTGATCAATGTTGTTATCCCTTGTAATATTCGGTGTAGCCACTGTAGGACTGCACAGTTTGAAAATAATAATAATTTTGATTAGATATGTTGTCAAATTTTAAAAAGTAGCATTCTGTTTAGGGTATTTAAATAACTCCAAAACAGAGAGAAGTCTTAAATATGAATTGATAAACTAATATAAGAATGACAAGCCAGTTAGAACATGTTTATGTTCATGTCTAAAAAAGATATCCAATTAATTACAGCCTTTTCCATTTGACAATTTGAAGTGTGCTATATTGTGCAGCTCTAGCTCAGAGTGTATTATTTGTATTGATCCAAACTTTGGATAAGAGAAAGAGTTGTACCAGAAAGGGCATAAAATCTCTGCCAGTATGCAAATAATAAATAGGCAGTACAGTTTATTTATGGTTTATTAAGGCTTGGTAACTATTTCATTAAGGGGTAAAAGTTAGGAGTTGGGGTTTTAGAGAATTAATCAAGTATTTAATACGCCACCATGGCTGGTTAGGGTTAGGCTTCTTAATCTTTCAGATTTTAGTTGACTTGGGACTGTATTGGACTGCAGATGTGTATCT